GAAACTGTTTCCAGTTTGGATGCCGTTGGATGGTCTAGGAAATAGTAATTACCAATTTGTTTCTCCAAGGCAAACTGTTCCGAGGTGCTATTATCCCAGACCAGTGCAAGCCACTCCTTATCAAAGTTTTCGTAGTGTGAGACCTTTTAATTATCAACAAGTGCAATACCGACCTCTACAGTATGCATATCGGCCAATCCGATATCCACAATTACCTGCTATTAATTATAACACAGTTCCTAAAAGAGAAGTTAAAAAATTATATTACTTTAATGTGAATGTCTAAATTAGACAGCAAAAAGTTCCCAGTATTATTGATATGGGATCCCAAATTAACGTTTTACCGTTAAAAGTTTTTAACAAAATTGGTGATAAATTTAGAGAAATTTCAGCGAAATCCCATGATAAAATATTTTCAATATCTAGTCAAGTTCATATAGAGAAAATAATTAAAGTAAAGTGTAAAGTAGGTAAAATAGAAAATAATATGATATTTTATGTAGTAGATTCAAATTTGAATTATTTATTGCTTTCATCACCATGCGTTTCATTCATTTTTAAATTTACAATTGAATTTTCATAATTATGAAGTGTATCAGCTTGGAAAACAGGTAAGTAAAAATGTTAAAGTAGACATGTTTTTCCAAAATAATTATGTATGGTAAAAATGATATCAGTGCTATGAACAATCTAGTAAATATTTTGATAATAACGAAAATTTTGTATGTAAAAATGATCTTAGTACTAAAAATTGTGGTAATTATTTTGAAAATAGTAAAAATTCTGATAGTAAATTACAGAAATTGTTAAATGATTATAGTCATGTATTTGCAAAAAGTAAATATGATGTTGGTTGCATAAGGGTTGAACCTCCCAGAGTTATATTAACTTCTGAATTATCAATAGCCTATAGACCATATAGAGCATCTCCTAAAGATAATAGTGAAATTAAAAACAAATAGATGAATTGTTAAAAGCTGGAATTATTAAACCTTCTTATAGTTCTTATGCTGCTCCTGTAACTTTAGCTTATAAGCGAGATGAGCAGTCCAGAAGCAGATTGTCTATTGATTTCAGGAAGCTTAACCAAATTACTAAAGCTGATTCTGAACCTATTTCTAGAATTGATGCTGTATTAGATCAATTAACAAATGTAAAAATCTTTTCTACATTGGATTTGACATCAAGCTATTGGCATATAAAATTAAATGAAAGGGATACTGAAAAATTGGCATTCACTACAAATTTTGGACTGTATGAGTTTACTACATTACCTTTTGGTTGGAAAAATTCCCCAGCTGTTTTCCAACGAGCTCTTAGACAAATTTTAAACAAATATCAGATTCAATTTGCTTTAAATTATTTTGATGATATTATAGTATTCTCTCCAAATTTTTGGTGAACATTTAAATCATCTTAAAATAATATTTGATATATGTGAGAAAGAGAATTTAAAATTAAAACAATCTAAATGTAATTTTTGCTAAAGAAAAATTAAATTTTCTAGGATATGAAAATTCAAGCAGGTAAATACCAGCCCAGTAATGCAAATATAGAGGTTATTAAAAAATTGCAACCCCCTAAAAATCAAAGAATTACAAAGATTTTTAGGAAGTATTAATGTTATCATAAATTTATTCAAAAAATTATGCTAAAATTAGAGCCCCATTAACAAATTTACTAAAGAAAGTACTCCTTTAAATTGGACTGATGAATGTCAAAAAGCTTTTCAGAAATTATTAAAAGATGCATTGATTTCTAGACCTATTTTTTAACTTTAATTTAATACCTAATATCCCTGTCATGTATTTGTTGATTCGTCCAAAGAGAGCTTGGTGTGGTGCTGCTTTAAAACAAGAGCATCCTGATGGTAGTTTGCATCCAATTGCTTTTCATTTCTAGAAAATTAAGATCTTATGAACAAAATTATGCCATTACTGAGCTGGAATGTTATCTATCATTGATGCAATTGATAAATTTTATTTATTTACATGGTAACCATTTTACTGTACATACTGATTATGCTGCTTTAGTTGACTTAAAAATATAAAAACACCCTACAGGTCGTCTATTTAGGTGGTCTTTAAAATTATCTATGTATGATTTTGATATAATATAAAATATAAAAAGGATCTACTAATGTTGAAGCTGACATGCTCTCTAGAAATCCTATGTGTCAACATTTAAGATTGCAAGTTAATTTATTATCATTAGAAGAAATAAAAGAATATCAAAATTTAGGTAATGTTTGTAATACTAAGTATAGGAAAATGAATGATATCTTAAGTGTCAAAAAACAGGGATTGTACAAAGTTGTGATACCCATGTCTCTACGTACGAAGTTACTTGAAAAGGCCCATATACAATTTGGTCGTATTGGTGTATCATCTATGTTAAATTTGTTATCTTCACAACATTATTGGCCAGGAATTGTTCAAGATGTTAGAAATTATTGTAAACATTGTGAAGTATGTCAGTTTAATAAGAAAAGTAAACAAAAGAAATTTGGTTTAATGCAAAATTTACCATCAGTTAGTGAACCTTTTGAAATATATCTATGATACTGTAGGTGGTTTAAATTATTATAATTCTACTAAAAAGTATATTCACATAATTATTGATCATGCAACTAGATATATCTGGACATTTGCTTCTAAAAGTGTAACTACAGATGCTTATATAAATTGCTTAAAACAAATTATCCAAATTCAGGTACCTATAAAAATGTTAAGTGATGATTAATAACTGTAATTTTTCAGTTATTCCAACACATCGTGGGTGAATGGTGAGGCTATTCCAATTCACGTTTTGGCAGATGGTTGACGAAGCTGGGATGATTGCACCACGGAGGAAAATGACGACTCAGTACTTTTCACTTTTAACAGCATATCTTTATTTTATTTTAGAACAGATGTTTTTTTCCAGATGAAGTTACTCAAATAACTTATTCAGTAATTGAATTATTAGATACGACTGACTTTAATATGTTATAACGTTCTAACAAAGAAGAGGAGCATAGCACAGGCGTTAGCAGAACAAAGGCGAGAAGGCATCTGTGTAGGAGAACTTATGACGCCGCATTTATATGAAAGGTTATGTAACAGAGTTGCTTCTAGAAAAATGTAGAAAAACTTATGACGCATCATTTATATGAGGAGGTTCCTCAGCTGACAGCCCAGTACAGTGCAGCTCCATGTTCAAGTGTCTCAGAAGACACAGTTCAGCTGACATTGTTGGGCAAGGGACTGCGCAACAGATGTGCCACTCCCGTGCCTCTGTTGACCAAGCATCATTATCAGCTGTGTCTGTAGTGGGCTGGGAACTTTGAAACTGGAGCATGGATAAGGCAGTTGGCTGGCTGGATGAATCATGATTTCTCATTCATTACTTTTATGGTCGTCTGAAGGAATGCCAACTTCCAGGTGAACATTTGCTCTGCCCCTGTGCAGCAAGTCATACTCAGGCTGGTGGTGGAGGTATTATGCTTTGGAGGACGTTCTAATGGTTGGCGGTAGAACAGACCAGGAAAGCTGCAGAGTATCTGAACGTAATTACGGATCACTTGCACCCTTACATGGCATCTGTCTTCCCAACTGGGAATCTTCTAGCAGGACAACACCCTATGTCACAAGCCTCGAATTACGTTGGATTGGTTCAAGGTGCATAAGTATTGTTATGAAATGTTCAGCTGTGGAAAGGTAGCTTCCCTACAAAATGGGTTTTGGGTTGTGAGAAAATAGCAAGGGAAGACAGGGTTGCCATATTTGGTGTGAGATTGTCCATTTAGCGACATAATTGGCAATATGCCATAGATGGATGGAGAATCTTCTGGAACGAATTCTTACTGGTTTGGCCTAGAATGTCCTTGAATGCAAACCAAAAGCTATATAAACCCTGCTGGTACGCAGTCACTCATCTATTTTACCAAGTTGATCGTCAGTCTAGTGTCGAGATGGTCGTCGGAGTATTGTGAGTCTAGCGAGTGCACCTTCGAATCTATTGAGTGTATCACGAGTTTGTAGTCTGGAGAGTATGAAGAGTTCCGTTAACAACTGAACCAAGTCGGGAGCTGTATTCTGGTGCTTTGCTGTGAAGCTGTTTTCACCATTATAGCCTGAAGGCTGTGTTGCTGATTGTTTCAGTGTACTTTTTGACAACTGTAAACATGATTTCACAGAACTGTTCTGAGTAATACTGGTTAAATAAATTCTGTTTTGATGCTTCATCAAGTCTCGTCATAAGTCACTCCAAATCCATGAACCCATACAAAAACAATGCAAGAGTATGAATTCCATTTAGTGTCCTGGCTACCTAACTTGCCTAACCCAATTGACATGTCAGGAGCAGCAGCTCAGAGCTGAAAGAACACTGTGTCGGAATATCACGACTTTGCATAACCGCTGCTTAGACATTTGGTACAACCTGGCTCCAGTCGTCTGCCAAGAACTTGTCGCATCCATGTTAAAGCCAGTTGTTTTGCAGACCAGAGGTCACACAACATGTTTTTGAGTAGGTGGTCGTAATGTCATGCAGAGGCATAGCTAAGATTTTCAGTTCCCAGGGACAACTGAAGATTTTGTACCCCTTTCTCTGTGCCAAGAATGGAAAACATTTCATTCTAAAATTTCGTAACGTCAATCCCCTGAAAGCTGTGCCCGGGAACAAATGTCTTCCTTTGCCCCACCCTAGCTACGCCACTGATGTCTTGTCTTTTCCATTGTATATTACACTATTTACTTTCTTTTGTTACTTGATAAAAAAGTAAACACATTAATAAATTAATTGTGACCTTAAGGTTACATATCCTTGTCAGAAAACAAGTTATTTGAATAACATTATTAATATGATTTGTAAAATGTCTTTTTTCTTAGTGATTAATCCTGATGCTTAGATTTTAAAGAATGAATATAAAAGCAATATTCTTATGTTATATTAGTAGTTAACTTATCCTTTGTTATATGTATAATAAAAAATTAATCATTGATTATGCTGCATTGCAGCTTGAAGGTACCACAAGACGTTTTACTAAACGAGATGCTAGTACTTTTCTGAGAAACAGTGAAACTGGAATAGTTGATCAAGTTATGCTAACTCTGAATTCTGATGGCTACAAATTTTGCAAAATTCGTGTGCGTTCTGTACGTATTCCTCAGATTGGAGACAAATTTGCCTCAAGACATGGGCAAAAAGGCACATGTGGTATAACATATCGACAAGAGGTGAGTTTTGTATATGGTTTCATTAATGATTATTTCAGAATACTAAATTATAACCAGTTATACCTAGTTCTTTCAACTTTAATTAATACTTATTTTATTATGTTCTCATAGGATATGCCTTTTACTGCTGAAGGTCTGACACCTGATATAATTATAAATCCTCATGCTATTCCTTCTCGTATGACTATTGGCCATTTAATTGAATGTCTTCAAGGGAAAGTTTCAGCTAACAAAGGCGAAATAGGTGATGCTACACCTTTCAATGACACAGTAAATGTGCAAAAAATATCAAATCTTCAAGAATATGGCTATCATCTAAGAGGAAATGAGGTTAGTATAAAATGCATTTAACTATTTGATATACAATTGAACCCTACTAAAACAAATCTCAAGGGATCAAAATTTTGATTCACTTAGGTCAAATCTGATAAGAAAAATAGAACATCTAAAAATGTATAGAAACTAAATGATTAATAAAAGGAGAAACGTATTAACATTGCTAAATGTCCCAAAAGAAGTAAATAATAAATCTAATTTATTCTCTAGTTAGTTAAAAATATACTTGACTAGAGGAAAGGCTGAGGGCTGATGCAAGATATCTTACCACCTGATGCATTTTCTGTGGATCCTGAATTCTGCTATTAAGTGCCTCTCTGAGTTCTAAATTTTGGGTTTCAGTCCTTTCCCTAATTGTGTCACCCTGTAATTTTGTTGCTCGGTGCTTCTCTAAATTCCAAAAATTTTGTCTTCCCTAAATTATGCCGCCCTGTGCGGCCATACAAGCTCTGTCACCGGTTCTGGGTTTATATGAATAAAAAAATCAGTTATTCTTAACTCAAACAGCACTAAATGAAATCTTTTAGCTTACGAATATCATCAATAAATTCTATTTTTAGCACATGTAAAGAAATTTTTGTTAAATTTTTCTTCGTCATCATTTTTTAGAGCATTTAACTTAAATCTGTAATTTATCGCCAGTCGTAATGTCAACAGAAAAAGTTACCATACTCTTTGTTATTCAATTGCTAATATAAAAAAAATTGGTTAGGCATCGCTGCATGAGTCATTCATTACTTAAGTTGTCATATGTTGGATAAACATGTGGTCAAGAAAACAAAATATAAATATTTGCCAGATTGGTGTCAGGGATATAAAATATTAGTAAGTGTAAAATCAACGATGTTTCTATGTAAATGCTTCAGTTTGAGTTATATGCCAAGCAGATAATGCAGCTATGGAGTCAAATTATTGATTACTTAAAATTGATGCTAAAATAATTGTTTTCTGAATAACAATATATTTTATTTAGTTCCGAAGTGAAATTAAGAATCAAGACTCATCATATGTTTTATTATTGGGGGGGGGGCAAATGAACATACGTGCACACCCCGCCCCATATATGTATATGATGCATTTGGTAATGCTAATAATTGTTTTGGGGATATTTTTTCTTCTAGTTAGCATGCATTGAGAAAAACTTCATTGTCAGTCAAAATGAAAAGTTATATTCTAATAGATTTGTAGTCTACCTAACAATCTTAAAATCTCATGTTATGATGCAAGCGAAATAAATAATTAAACAAAGCTACATGTACTATAGTTTTAGTATATGTAAATATTACATTGAATTAATACATTCAAATTATGAAATATGCATGTTTAGAAAATTTAAATGCATGGAATGTAACATACATGTGTTGTTTGAATAAGAAGGTTGATTAATAGTTAAACTCAGTAAGAACAAAAATGTAGAAACGATGTTATGTAGATAAATGTATACAGAGTATGATAAAAATGTGTCCCCACCCGTCTCTCTCGCTTATCTTCCTTTTTGCTTTTATATAAACAACAAACAGTTCTTAGCATTACTTGTAAAAACAATAATTAGCAGCCAAATTATTTAAGGGAAGGAGGATGTGCTAGTAATGGGAAAGTTCAGGAAAATATCTATAAACATGTAGAAGATAAAAGAAGAAAAAAAGGAGTAGGTTCATGTTTCAGTGATTTCAGGTTTCTATCAGTTCTGTAGTCAAACTGCCAAATAAGCAGAAGCATATTTTAATTTAGAAAGCTGTGCAGTAAATTGAGGGAGGGGGGAAAATTAATTTCTGTTATCGAATAAAGTAAAAAAGAGCTTTGATTTTACAAACCTCATTTGTTTCTGCCTTTCTTTTTCTGAAATCAGTTGAAATAAATAGAAAAATTCTTAAGCATCAGAAACATACATTAATTGCCATTAGAAATAGAAATGTGTGTAGAGGCTTGAAATCTGTGTATTACTGCAAAGAAGTTTATCATAACCAATCTATTTTATTTTGGATGCTCACAATTACATACTCAAGATATAATATAAAAAATTATGAAGTTGATCTATTAACCTCCTAAAGCCAGCAGTACAGCAGTTGTACCAGGAAAATGACTTTAACGCCTGCTGTAGTACAACTGTCGTACCAGCCATCCCCTCCCTATTTTAGAGAATCGCTTTGAGAATCGCCTATCTGTAGATCTCTGGGTGGCCCATTGTCGCTGCTCAGAATAGCCGCTGACCATGCATTGTTTCCCTCTTCTTATCAGTTTGGCTGAATTTTGGCAAAAACCGCAGGTTTCGTCTCGCACCAATATACTTGAAAATCAAATAGAAGCCATCTCTTTCTCAAACAGTAGAGCACTGTCTCATAATTTTAGTGTTAACTTTTTTAGTAGTAACTTTTGCTATGATTAAAACATTAGCGATTTTGCACGCTGTTCAAGCTTACCAGATTTAATGCTTTTTAATCATAGCATATAAGATTAGATTAATATTTTAGATTTAATGCCCTTCTAGAAAATAGGTAAAACCGCTTTTATCGTTTACTTCCTTTTTGTGCTTCTGAATAATAAGATGTTATATTGACTTTTTTTTTTTTTCTTTTGGAGTGCATAAAAACCCTTAACTATTAACTCTTTCAAAATGCTTCTATTATGTAGGCAATTTTGTCTGATTTATCAGGAGATAAATAAAAGACAACTGCATGCATAATAGTTTTTGTGATTTTCATTCATTCAATGATTGATTTCAATGATTGCTTTGAATGATTTCCGTTCATCGTAAATTAAATAAAACCAATTTATCTTTAGATCCTTTTTAGGATGGCATCTGCCAAAAAGTATTTAAATATCATTAAAGCTCACGTAACTTCTACTAAATTGAATCAAAACATCAGTTATTTTGCATAAAGTTTTGGCCAGTTTTATTTGCTGAAATTCTTATACTCCTCAAGAGATAAAGGGAATTCAGACAAGTTAAAAAATTATCTTTAAAAAAGAATGTTAATTTGTCTGATATAATGTGTATGTCAACTTATTATCAAATGTATGAGAATTAGGATTGGATTACGGAAAAGCACACAAATGCTTTCATGTAAACCTTTTCAAGAGAAAATTGCTCACATTTAAGTTACTGATGGAAAACTCCACATGTAATCAACCCGTTCTCCGGGTTTAACTGGATTAATTTTGTTTGCTTACTGAATTACATTCAAAGCATACAACAATTACCTGTATAAAGGGAGGGATGCCTTCGCGGAGGACTTTCTAAGGGAAGCTGGATTTACGTTGCCCAAAAAACCATGAATCCAACCCTTTAGCCGGGATTCAAACCCGACCAAGATACTTTATGCAAACCCAACCGAGATACTTTATACTAACCCGACCGATTGAAAATGAAATAGACTTCAACCTTTGGATATAATCATGGTTTTAGACAAAGTTTCTGCCTATGGAAGGAAATTGACATATAATTCTTCATAAACAATTAAAACTATACTGAAAAATACTTTTGATGATTGCGTGTATAGGCCATAGATTTTTTTTTTCTCTGCTAACATTAGCAAAACCAAATTTACAAAGAAAAATTCTCATTAAATATATACCTCCTTTGCCTGATAGTCCAGTGTAATATTTGTTAAAGTTAAATGTTGAAACGCAACCAATGTATCTCTGATTTTCTTTTTTGTATTATTATAACAAAATTATCGAAAAAAGCAGATTTAAAGCTCTGTTATTGTTATGTAAAGCTTTATTATTGCTGTAAGTTCATCTCAAAATCTAATTGTATTGAATCTCATTCTAATCATCTAATAATAATAGATATTATTAATGAATTTATTATTATTATTTCATTAAATTAGTAATTACCATTATTTTGTTAATGAAATTATGTTATTAAAAATCGCGTTCCAACCTGCAGACTTACAAAGCTAGTTCGTATTTATTATATTTTGTAAAATTTTGTTTTCGTTTTCTAATTTGTAATACAAAAATATGCAAATATAAATGAAGTGTGAAAGCAAAGTTATAAAATTCACAAATTATTGCTGAGATTGATCAGAAATACTACTGTAATTTCCGGAAGAAAGGCCACATCAGCGTAAACGTCGTACTCGAGAAAAATGGCGGGAAAAAAATGAAAATTACACAGAAATGCTGCAATAGATTAAATTACATGTGACATTGTTGTGGGCCGTATAGTTGCAAAATCTCAACGTATGTCTGGATATATGACATATCAGTTAAGAAAAATGCATGAAATGAAACCATAACTCAAAAATAAATTAAAGGTAAGATATGTTGAAAATATATTTATGTTCACGAATATACTTATATTTATCCACTAAAGAAGTCCATATTTGTAATACTCAGACTATATTATAAAATATGTTGCAACAATGAGACATTAAATTTGCATGACAAAAGAAAATTTTAAATTTTGGATGACAAAAGGAAGGAAATTTTAAATTTTACTTACAAAAGGAATTACAGCAAACTATACATGATATGAAGCCATCAAAATCTGATTCTTCACTATCTGAATTAAAAAGATTTAGTAAATCCTGATCTATGTCCAAGTCTTCCAGATCATCACATTCATCCTCTTGTTTTACAGTCTCTTTATCTAAGGATATAATTTCAGCTTCTTTGAACCCTGCTATTATTGACGATGTTTTTACCGATTTCCACGCACTTCCTACCCACTTTGCAATTTCTTCATAAGATGCTCTATGCTTTTTCTTGCTTTTGGTATATGTATGCAATCCTTCACTCATCCAACAATCCACCGCTTTCGGACTTCAGCTTTGAAGGATTTATTACCTGACAAATCTAATAGTTGTAAGATTTTTGTCAAACCACCATGAATTATTGTTACGTAGACAATTTTTGATATCTGGTTTTCACTGACTCAAGTAAATTAGCACGCATAGAATTCATTATCAATTACCCTTTTGGTTGGAAAAAAGATCCCAACAAAAAAGTTTGGCAATGTCGTAAATACTGCCAAACTTTTTTGTAGC